AAAGATAGAAGGGTGCTTCTTCTATATAGGTTGGTTTTTGTTTGTTTGTTTTAATATATAAGTATAAACATCTGTCTTGTCTCTCCGAATAGATTATAAGCTCCTTCAGTGTTGGAACCATTTAGATACTGGAGAAGCACAGGAAGATAATAAATATTTGAGGGGTTATGTACCAGGCAGTTCTCATTTAATGGCTGGATTCCTTCATAGCCTGTCATTGGGAAATTATTTCCTTCTTACTCATGTCAGCCTTTGTGGAAAGCTATTTCTCTCATTGAGGAGGAGGCAATTACCAGTCCTCTTTAGAAGGGACAGTATAACATAGGGGTTGCAAACAAGGGCTTTGGAATTAGGAAGCTGTGGGTTCCAGCCCCAGTTCAGCCAGTCCAAGCTGCATGACCTTGAGTAATTTATTTACCTTTCTCTGAACCTCAGTTTCCTTGTTCAAAAACTGATGATAATATTGCCTGCCTCGTGGAGTTGTTGTGGGAATTGAACACGGTAATGTATGTAAAACATTTAACATAGAGCCTACCCCACACAGAAAGATCAATAAATTGTTGCTTAAAAACATCTAGCCTTTGAGACCAGAAGCCACATTCCAACATGAATGCAAATAAAAGCAGCAAAACACATTTAAAAACAGTAAACAAAAACAGCCTAGGGTCTCATGCAATTTACAAATACTAAGTAACAGGACACCCATTATTGTCCTCCTTGTTTCCCACAGAGGAAGACTGAGGAGCACTCAATTCTGAGGCCTTTATCAAATTCATGAATAGAGCAGTTATCATGTAACCTCTAAAGCCCCGGCTAACCCTTAGATTGGAAACCCAGAATCTTAGCATGTTAATGCTAAAACATAAAAATTAAAAAAAAAAATAAAAAACTTAGAGATCAGTCCAACCCTCTCCTTTTATAGATGAAGAAACTCAAGGCCAACAGGCTAAGCGATTTGCCCAAAATTACCCAGTATGTTCCATGAGTTCTTTAAATGTGTATTTCTAGCCCCCAGATCCCTCCATTCTTCCCTCTAATCAATCCCTCTCAATATCCTAGCAATGTCAGCAGCAATTTGAACTACAGAGAAGGATCCTGTGTATCCCACCCCCAATTAGAATGAAGCTCCTAAGCACAAGAGTAGTGTCTTTCATCTCAGTGCCTACAAAATGGTACTCTTTATGCTCATAAATCCCCACTGATTAACTGACCGAGCAATACAAACAGTTCTCTGTTTGCCCTACAGGAATTTACTAAATGTTTAATGAATGTGTATATAACAGACCCTCCTACTAAGAATGTGACCTTTCTCTCCCCTGCAGCATCAGGCAGAACACTGCCTGCCTAACTAGCCTAAAGAAAGAGTTGCTAGGGAGTCCTGAGAGATATCACAGAAAGGGGCCACCAGCTTTGCTGCTCTCTACCACAATGGCTGTTATCCTCACCCCCTGCTCAGCCCACCCCCTCTACCCTGATTTGCCACTAGAGTCACCAAACCTTCTCTTGGTTTTCAGTTTCAATAGGTAAAAAGAGACATAACTAAATAGCTCTGGTAAGTTGCGATACAAAAGCAGAAAGATAACCTCAGCATGACCCAGCTCTTAAGATTTACAAACATATCTAAGCAAGTCCCGACCAGTGCTGGGAGACCCCGTGCAGTAGAGGGTGCAGGCTGGCAGAAAGATGACAAGATCCTAAGGGCAGAAACCCTGTGGAATGCTGGCTATGGGTGCTGAATCTTAGAACCCAGGGAGCACCTCAGAAGTCATCTTTCTTCAGTATGATGTAGCTGTCCTACTTTTCTAGGCGTGATGCCTTGGAGTTGCTCCTGACTTCTCCCCCTCCCTGCCCCTCATTTAATCCATCCCCAAACCCCATCCTTTCTTTCTTTCCATCACCCAGACTCCTTCCCATACTTCTGAACTGCTGCGTCCAGGTCACATGGCTGTACAAGGGACTCCCGGCAGGGCTTCCTGCTCAGACACTGCTCTTTCCAGTTCACCCTGCCCTCCACAGTCCAGGGTACCCACTTGCCCCCATTGCCCAGAACCCTCCCAGTGTTAGTACTGAAAGTCTCATCTCCAGGGAAGCTCTCAGTCCCAGCTGAGACAGCTAGCCACATTACAGCCTTCAGATTAAATTCTTCCCCCAAACAATGTTTTTATCATGTCACTTTCCTGACCAAAATGTTCCCTGCTTCCCATTTCTCATTAAAATAAACCCTAAAGCAGACCGCAAGTCTGCCTCAGAGAATGTCTGAGAAAGCATGTTGTTGGGCTAGGGTAAAGGGACAAGGGTGCTAGGCTTGGCTTCAGTTATAGTCCTGTGAGACCCTTGGCAAGTCGCTCATTCTAGCTGGGGCTCAATTTCCTCACCTGTAAAATTAGGGGGCTAAGACTAGATTTCCTTTTCAGCTTCAGAATTTTCTGATGCTCTTCTATATACCCTCTGCTCCAGCCAGACTGGCCAACTCACTCTAATTCAAACACACCGTGTAAGTTCTTACCTTGTGTCTTTGTTCTTTCCCTTCTCCCCGTCAGAATTTCTCTCCTTTCATTTCTGCCCACCCGAATCCTTTGTGGGACCATACACATCTCACCTTCTGGGCCCAGTCCCTGAAGACTCCACACATACCCAGGTTTTCTAACACTCAGCACTTCTTATGTTCTGTTCCTGGTATTCAAGATCTTTTTTCTATGGGATGCTTCTTTATTCTAACTGGACTAAAATCTCTCTGCACTTTTGTGATTCCCTTGCAGAATCCCAAGCACTGCTATTAACTGATGAATAGATACAGAGAAAACAGTACAATCAAAGGTAAAGATAGAAAGTAAAAAGAAATATAGATTTTTTTGCATTTTACATAAAATTTCCAAACACTTTCATAATCAGTAATTCACTTACTCCACCAAGACTTACTATGACTCTCTTCTGCTGAAGACACTGCCAGCATGGCATAGGCGCAGTGATGGGGCATAAATGGAGGCTCAGTTCTCTGACAGCATCTCTACTCACAAACAGCATAACTTTCTATGCAGTTCCTAAACTCAAACCTAAGTTTAATAAGACCTAAGAGGCTCATGTGGTGGTAACAACACCGTCATCATTCCTCTCCTCCTTCCAATTCATGTATCTACTAACCTGCAGAGCTGTTGAATATTTTTAAAAACTCCAAATAGGTCTCTAGATTAAAATGCACATAAAATACACACAAGCAAGACATCAGCCTAAGACAAATCTCTCCCAGAAACTACATTCTGGCCATATGCCCAGAATCGTTAGTCCCTACTTTGACAGATTTTTGTAAAATGATCATATTGATAATCTTCTTTAGTATGATTTGACTATGGTCCTCCATCAGTGCTAGTAAGTGACTCGTATTAAGAAAGAACACCTCTGTTTTGGGGACCCCCACAGCATGCATGCACACACACATTCCCCTAATTAAATGGGGTTGGGACCTAAACAGTGTCACCTAATCTAATGACAAACAGGTTCATTGAACACATGGAGGAAGTAAATAAACCAAACGGTTTGTAGAAGGAGAGGTCCAGCTGAGCAAAGCTGGGCTGGATCCAGAGTGATTCAGGCTCTGCCACCGAATGGGTGTCTCCTGGGATGGCCTAACAAGACAATTAAAACCCATATAAATAGGATGGGTTTCCAGGTCTCCAGCATCCTCTTCAGCTTCTCAATCTTCTCCTCGTTCCTCCTTACACAGGTAAGATATGCGTGGGGGAGCAATGGCAGTGTCCACAAGGCTCGGGACAGTGGCCATGATAATCTGGGCTAAAAAGGTCTGGAGACTACTCCCTGAGGCTGACAGCCTTGGGCACCTTCCTGCTTCTTTTTCTTGGCTCTGAGAATATGATGATAGCTGAGGTTGCTTATTTCTGAGGCTATAAAACATACAAGTTTTTGTTTCAGTGTGTCTAGGCATTACAAAATCAAGAGCTAGAATGACTGGTGGATAGCTTAGTCTCCCATAGTGGAGCATGTGCCATTTGCGAAAGTTAGGCAAGACCTGAGAATTTAGAACTCATTAGGAGCAAGGCCCTGGACCATGGAGCCATGTAATACTCAAGTCTCATTACAATGACTTGCCACTAGAGCCTCAGTTAGTCCATTCAATTCATTATTTGCCACTTATCTGTATAGGCATCTCTGCACACTTCTGGAAGTCCAATATGCTTTACAGTTAGGGTTTCAGTTTGGAGGCCTATAAACCAATAACTGGGATTTTCATACCACAAGAAAAAATATCATTGAGCTCCAGATCCCAAAGATCCTAGCCTCCTAGCATGGCCAATGTAAATTTAGCTGATTGTATTCTACTTTTTATCATCTATGCAGTTAATTTGGCTTGCTATTTTTTTCTGTAACAGTTTTATATTCACTGATTCTATTTAATAACCATATCCCAAAGTGACCATCCAGGCTGGAAACACTTGCTGGAATTTAACCTCCCAGGAAGTTTCCTTGGCTCATGGCAAGAGACTTCTGGCCTTCTTCCCAACTTGAGCAAGGTTCATTAGAAGACTGTGGCCTATTCAGTGGGGTCTATGTAGTATCCCATTCATTGTACTAGTCATTGGTGAAAAATTACCCTTCACTGCATTGGCCTTGGTCCTGCATCTATGGGCTTCCTGACCATCTTTCTTTTTTGTTCTAACATGAAACTTTAATTGAAGCAAGTCCCACCTGGAGTATAAGACGGAGCATGTAAAACATCCACCATATTTTTTGGCTTTTAAGAAATAGCCATTTTTTTCTAGCAGGAGACCCATACTCTGTACTCACCTCCCACTGTAGTATGTGGCATTTGGAGCCAGACTTTGGGTCAAAGGGAGTAAGGGGTATGGCTAAGGAAGGGGCTGTGTCATTTCTTACACTTCTGCCCTGACCCAGAGGGGCCACTTTCCCTCTGAAAATACTGTTTCCTGGGCTTCCTCCTAAACAAAATCTTGTTTCTTCTTTTAGGTTCACCTGTCTTTGCCAAAATGGCTCAACTCCTAAAGAGTATACTCACTGTGATCAAGGTATTCCAGAAATACGCTAAAGAGAATGGGGACTGTGCTTTGCTGTGCAAGAAGGAGTTGAAGCAGCTGCTCTTGGCTGAGTTTGGAAACATCCTCCGGGTAAGATGCATAGACTCTGGGTCCCATAGAGTCAAGTGTGAGTGATTCTGACACCCGCATCTACAGCTTGATTTTTATTTTATTTGGTAATGCTCCACCCTATAACTAAAAGAGTTTAGGCAGCTCCTTAGTAGCTCACTCTCAGCATACAGACTTGTGTACACAGACATGTTCACATACACATTTGCACACATGCACACCTCTTTGTATCTAAGCTGGAACAGGAGCAACTACAACTTTGAACCAGAAATTATTTCTCAAAAGTAATCAAGATTTGTATCTTAATTTCTATATTTTAGTGCTGTCTATGCATCTTCTCATTCATTCATTCAATAAATAGCCATTATGCACATACTCCATACCACATCATACTAGCCACTGAGGATACAAATATAGATAAAGCCAGTTTCCCCTCCCTCCAATATCTCATAGTGTGGTTGGAAAGAAGTAGGTAAACAAACAATTACAATATAGCATGTGATGGGATGAGACAGCTTCCTCAAATGACTCAAATTAATTGTTAATGGAGCTGATTTTAAATAAGTGTATCTACTCCCTATAGTCCTGCTCTTTCCCAGTTTTTCAGCCAGGGATGCAGTTCTAAGAACCAGCTGATCAAAGACTAGAGCCAGGCCTAAGTCACTTCAAATTAATGGTTTCTCAACCAAGGAAGTCTCATACAAACTAAATGAACTGGGGTTTAGACATGGGCACACATCTAAGTATCCACAGGAAAATATCCGATTTTTCTCTTTGTTTTTCTTCTCACAGAGACCAAATGACCCAGAGACTGTGGAAACCATCCTGAGTTTCTTGGATAAAGACAAAAATGGACATGTTGATTTTCAAGAATATCTCTTGTTGGTGTTCCAGTTGGCCCAAGCTTGCTATCATAAGCTGGAAAATGAGTCATGTGGAGACAGAACCTCCCAGCAAGAAGGAGAGCAGGAGGGAACACAAGACCATAAGTTTCCAGGAAATACAGAGCTACAACACAGGCAGAAGCATGAGGGAAAGAGGCAGGACCTTCCCCACAGTCAGTCTGAGAGGCAAAACCAGGATGTCTGCCAGGGTCGATCTGAGAGAAAAGATAGGGATTCCCACTACCATCCGTCTAAGAGACAGGATCAGGACTTCCACCACGGTCAGTCTGAAACAACAGATAAGAACTCCTATGGTCATTCTGAGATGCAAGGTCAGGACTCCAGCTCCGATCAAAGACTGAGTCATAAATCTAGCAGTGGCCAGACTGAAAGACAAGGATATATCTTTGCCTTAAACCCGTGTGAGAAACAAGCTCAGCATGAAAGGCATAGACAACAACCAAGCTATTGTGAGGCTGGAAGACTTGGAGAGGACTCTTGCTCTAGCCAAACAAACCAACAAGAATCAGGTTCTTATTATGGACATTCTATGAGGCTGGGTCAGGAATCAAGCAGTCATCAGAGAGGCAGGCAAGAGCTGGATTCTCAATATGGCCAGACAGACAGACAAGGCCAGAGTTATCATTATGGTCAGACAGACAGGCAAGACCAAATTTCCCACCATGGTCACACAAACAGACAAGGCCAGAGTTCCCACTATAGTCAGACAGACAAACAAGGCCAGAGTTCCCACTATGGTCACAAAGACAGACAAGGCCAGAGTTATCGTTATGGTCAGACAGACAGGCAAGACCAAATTTCCCACCATGGTCACACAGACAGACAAGACCAGAGTTCCCACTATAGACAGACAGACAGACAAGGCCAGAGTTATCATGATGGTCAGACAGACAGGCAAGACCAAATTTCCCACCATGGTCACACAAACAGACAAGGCCAGAGTTCCCACTATAGTCAGACAGACAGACAAGGCCAGAGTTCCCACTATGGTCACAAAGACAGACAAGGCCAGAGTTATCGTTATGGTCAGACAGACAGGCAAGACCAAATTTCCCACCATGGTCACACAGACAGACAAGACCAGAGTTCCCACTATAGACAGACAGACAGACAAGGCCAGAGTTATCATGATGGTCAGACAGACAGGCAAGACCAAATTTCCCACCATGGTCACACAAACAGACAAGGCCAGAGTTCCCACTGTAGTCAGACAGACAGACAAGGCCAGAGTTCCCACTATGGTCACACAGACAGACAAGGCCAGAGTTCCCACTGTAGTCAGACAGACAGACAAGGCCAGAGTTCCCACCATGGTCATACAGACAGACAAGGCCAGAGTTCCCACTATAGTCAGACAGACAGACAAGGCCAGAGTTACCATTCTGGTCAATCAGACAAACAAGGCCACAGTCATCATGATGGTCAGACAGGCAGAGAAGGCCCAGTCTCTCTATATGACCAGACCAACAACCACAACCAGACTTCAGGTTATGGCCATTCAGACAGACAAGGCCAGAGCTCTCAATATAGTCAGTCAGAGACTGAGGAGACTGGGCAAAATAGGTGTTTCCAAAGAAGTGAGGGGACAAGCAAAGGTTCATATGTTGAGCAATCAGGAAGGTCAGAGAGACCAACTCAACAGACTCAAGGACAGAATGTGAGCCGAGATCAGGGACAGAGATTTCAGTCTAGGGTAGGGAAGAACAACCACCAAGCATGGGAGCCTGAAGGGGATCGCCAACACCACCAACACAAACTTGTAGCACAGATCCAGCAAGAAAGGCCATGCCATCACAAAGGGAGTGATTGGCAATTGTGCAGTGGTGAACAGGGCAACAGACAGGCCCAGACCAGCGAGAGTTGTGGTGAGGCACAGAGCCACCAGGCAGAGAAAGAGCAGGGCCACCAAACCTGGGGTAGACACGGTTGTAAGGACCAGGGAACTCCATGTGACGAAGAAGATAGGAAAACCCATGAAGAAGAACAAAGCCATCAGACACAGGACAGGAAAACCCATGAAGATAAGCAGAATCGTCAAAGACAAGACAGGCAAACACATGAAGAGGATCAAAGCTTCCAGAAACAACAGAATAAGAAAACCTATGAGAAGAAAGGGAGATATCAAGGGTCCCAGGATCAACCATCTCATGGGACCCAGCAAGGCTATGCTAACAGAGAAAAATTCCACATGAATGAGGATGACCAGAGCCAAGGCTCCCAGGGAAGACACAAGGACATAGCCTTCTATCCAACCCAGGGTGGTAGGAGGCCCCAAAGAAGACAAGAGGGTGAAAGCCACCCTACCAAGGCAGCTCTCGCTCCCAACCCTCTCTATGACTATCTACAAGAGCAGAGAATGCATTCGCACTAGGCCTTGTGCACACCGGAGCTACAGCTGAAGAAGAGTCTACATGTCAAGTTCATATTTACTTCTGTTTAAGAGATTGAAAATGTATGTCTTCCTTCTCTCCTTTACTTTCTATCTACTTGTAAGGATGCTTTTGAGGATTAACATTCACTTTTAGGGTATTTCAGTTCTTTGAGCAACAACTCTAGGGTGTTCTGGTTGGGTAAAATCTGAGTGGTAAATTGGGTGAAATAATCAGAACCCAATTTTAATTAGTTTGGGGATTTAAATCATTTCTTGGTTTGCCTTCCATGTAGATAGGACATGGTTTTATCAATGAAAGGTAGAAACTTCTCCCAAAAGTTCAGAAACAGGAAAGGTATTCTGAAGAGACATGTCACAAACTGAGAAGAGGACACCTGGTCTTTTGTGAGCTTCAGCTCCCGTGGATAAAACATCGGGAATTGCAGGCCTCATAGTCTACACTAAAATGAAGCCAGTGAGAGGTTTCTAGCAGAGCCAGAGAACACAGAGGGCATCTCTGATCCACAGTAACTCCAGCACCCCAGCCCCTACCCTTCACCAGATAGACTGTCCACTGAGCTCCTATCACTACAGCTCACTGGACTGGTTTTAGTTCAATGCCTTTCTTGTTTCTGATCATATTAAGTGGGGAGAAAGCATATGCCATCTGTTTTCATACTCCAGGGAGCCAAAACTGTCACTCCATAGCTTCTGGGGCCTGAAAACCCCTCATGACAAAATCTATAGAATTGTATTAAAACACCCAATAAATGATTGGTGAGCAATGACCTCAATGACTCTTTTCCTTCTTCACTGTGGGGCTGTGCTATCTTCACTTGTGGGCCATTTTCCAAGAATAAGACCTTATTTCTCAACTTCTAAGATCTCTTTTTTATTTGAGTTCCTGGTCACTGAAAAAAATAAAAATCAGTAAGAACCCAAACAACAGGGTGAAGAATAAACCCAAAAGTGAGAAGTCTCAAAATCTGGAAGCTGCTCAGGGTTCATGGAGGCTGTGAATGGGACAGCAAGCAATACAGGGTGGAAGGGATTTGAGTATTGTAGGCAAAGGGAGCAGCATGAATACAAAATGGAGAAGGAAGTCCAGGAGTGCTTGATGAAGCAAAGGAACATGCATAGAACACTAACAAGAGAAAGTAGAGAAAATCACAGCTGAAAGGATAAAGTCAGCCAGATCATGGAGAACCTTCAACTCTACCATGAAGAGTTTGGCATTTTTTCCACTTAGTAGTAGGAACCACAAAAGTTTTCTAACTATCCCTGGCTGGTGTGGCTCAAAGGATTGAGTGCCAGTCTGAGAATCAAAGGGTCGCCGGTTTGATTCCCAGTCAGGGCACATGCCTGGGTTGCAGGCCAGGTCTCCAGTAGGGGGCACGTGAAAGGCAACCACACATTGCTGTTTTTCTCCCTCACTTTCTCTCTCCCTTCTCCTCTCTCTAAAAATAAATAAAATCTTTAAACAAAAAGTTATAAGAAATTCAGAGAAAAACTGGTAGAAAAGATGGTTGGGATAGAAAGAAATAGCTAATATATTAATGGAGTTGGTGATTTTGATCTGTGTAACTTTCCCATCACAGGTACAACATACACCCATGCAGACATGGCAAGAGAACAGATTGGGGAACTATTCAGGCTCTAAGGCCAAAAGCCAACAACCAGAAAGGGGAATCCATCAAGAAGGGTGTGAAAGGAGAAATGCCCTGAGGTGGCACAGGCTGACCAGAAGTGGTCTCTGCAGCTAGAGGGCAGAGGGGAGAAAGCAGATCTCTGGATCCAAACCACAGGGGAACTCTCCAAATTTCCTCGACTGAAAAGCCCAAACAGTATACCCTCCGCCTTAGGTGCTGTCTTTATTCCTAAACTCTGAGAGAATCATACATACTGTGAGATAATTCACAGTACTTCCCCCAAATATACCTAAATCAGAAAGACATTTCCTTGCAGAAAACTGGTCTTTATTTCACTGCAGCCCACTTTCTTCCTCTTGGGGATCACTCTTCAGCTGCCTTCTCCTCTTTTCTAACTACAGGTTATCTTATCCAGTTCGGTGGCTTTAAATATCATTACTATTTCTAAGATTCTCAAATTTTCATCTCCAACCCTACCTCTTTCCTAAACCCTAGACTCGTATACCTAATTATCTACTTGGCATTTCACTTGACCGTGAAATAATATCTCCACCTGAACATTCTCAAACAGAACTCTTGGCTTAACCTGCTTCTCCCTCAATTTTCTCCATTTCAGTAAGTTAGTAGCACCACCCACGTTGCACAAGCAAAAACGTAGGGGACATTCTTTATTGTAATCATTCTTTCCCTGCAAATTAAACTCATCAGCATGTCCTCTTGTTTCCATCTTAAGACACAATAAAGCTCAAATCCACCATTTTTGTCATCTTTACCCCTATCACCCCTGTCACCACATCTCCCTCTCAGAATGCAGTCATAGCTTCCTGACGGGGCTCTCTATTCGTTTGTAAAATATAAGCTACACCATGTCACCCCCCTGCTTAAAATGCTCAGTAGTTTTCCACCATAGTGAGAATAAAATTTAACATTCTTCCCAGGGCCTTCCTAGGATGGGGCCTTGCCAGACCTCATCTTGCACCCCTTTTCTACAGTCACTGTTTTCAGCCACTCTGGCCTTTTTCCATGGCTCTAGCAGGACAAGCTGACTACCACTTTGAGGCCTTGAACCAGCTATTTATTTTGCCTGGAATATTCTTCTCCCTGATCTCTGTGTGCCTTTGTTATTTCATTCAGGTCTCAGCTAAAAAGAAGCTTCCTCAGAGAAGCTTCTCTAACATTTAATCTAAGAGATTATGTCCCAGTCACTCTCTACCACATATCCCTCTTTTTATTGTTACTATTCTTAGCATTTTTCATATTTGATATCTTGTTTTTGTATTACTTGTTCACTGGAACTTACGGTCCATAAGAACAAGGATTTTATTTTTCTTGTCTTGTTTGCTACTGTACCCTCTGCGTCTAAAACAGTGACTGCTCACTGTGTGTGTTCATGGGTGTGTGTCACTGCATGTTCATAGAAGCCCTCCACGATCTGGCTTCAGGCTGCATTTCCAACTTGGTTCTTCACAATGCCCCAATATGCACTTAAACTCCAACCTAACTGGACAAAATCTCAGCCTCCATACCTCTGCTTAAACCAATTTCCTCCACTTAAATGCTCTCCTAATCTTCACGTGTCAAAATGCTACCCATGCTACTAATTAGCAACAGCTTCTGGACCTATCAACAGTACAGATCTTATCACATTGCACTGAAGTCAATTTTAAACCCATCTGTTTCCCACATGATGCTGTGAGGTCCTAGAAGGCAGAAACTACATCTTAGTCACAGTCTTATCTTCTGCACTAAGCATAATGACTGGCCAACTACATAGAAAGAGACTGTGATTTAGAATAAAAAGATCTGTATTTGAGAGCTAGCTCCACCACTTATTAATTTTATGATCTTACAAAAAAAACTTTATCTCTCTAAATGTCAGTTTCTTTATCTGTAAAGTGAAGTTTAAAATTCCAATAGTTACTTAAAAATAAATTAAGATAGTATATACAAAGTAATTAATAATCTGACATCTTCTTGCTTATTTAGTTGGTGTTTATTGTCTTTTCCTCTTTGGCATGATTTTAATAAAAGATTAATAAATGCTTAACATAATATTGAAAAGCCCAGCTTACATGCCAGATCCTCCAAGAAGCCTTCCTTGATCCCTCTTCTTCCCAGACAATAGTACTCCTATGTCTTCAAGCCATGTCTTTGAAACCTTGTGCAACCATCCTCCCAGTCTGCATTATTATAGTTAGCAGTGAACATTCCTCGCTCCCTAACTATATTAGAGTATCCTTCAGAGAAAGGTCCACAACTTAATGTCCACATCATCATTATCACTCAGAATAACTACTTGGTGGGTGCTTGTTGAATCAAATTCAACTGAATGAACTCTCTTCATTATGGCACATCTCTCTCCTCCCAGGCTCGCACCACCATTCTGTGGCCATAGTCCTGTTCTGCAATTAGCTCACTTTCATGCCTGCCTCCCCCACATCCCAGGACCCAACTTTTACCTTGCTGACTTCCTGAGCCCCTCCTCCACAAGTCCCAATTTAAATAGAACTCCACCAACACTTCTCATGATTTGCAGGATCCCAGATTGTGGCCATTTTACATTTTTACTTCTTGCTTCACTTTCCCTTGTATCCTCCCTCTCAGTTCAAACCTAACAATTCCTATCCCTCAACTCCTTGAAAAGCAGTTCCAAACTTACGTCCTGCAATGCTCTCTCAGTGCTGTTCCTTTCCACATACTCAAGTTTCCCTGTGTGCATTCTGCTTTCTGATAGCTGTACATACAAATGTTCTCCTGTTGCTTCATATCATTCATCCTTTCCACAGAAACTATAAGGTCATTAAGAGGCTGCTAAGCAAAGAACATACATGCATGATCCATGGACAGGAACAATGGTGTGGGGACTGACTGTGGGAAAGCGGGGCTGGCTGGGACGTGGGGAGCAAAGGGAGAAAACTGGCACAACTGTAGTAGCATAAACAATAAAAAATGTTTAACTTTAAAAAATACAAATGAAAAAAGAGAAGGCTGATGCGTCTCCTATTCCTTTGAGAACCTAGCACAAATGGATTTGCAGCCATTGTTGTTGGCTAATGTGCTAGGAGACTTACTCAAGTAGTTGGAGCCTACTTTGAATTGAATATTTATTGACTGAATATTTACTGTCAAAAGACAATTTCTTATTGCATTTTGCCTACAAGCAACTTGAATTCTTGAGAGCAAAGGGCTCCAAGAACCCATTAAACAGATAGCAACAGTCTAAAGAGAGAGAACACTGAAATGGGGATCAGGAAACTTGACTTCTAGTCCTGGCACTACTACTAATGCCTAATGTGATTTGGGGTAATTTTTGTCCCTTTACTGTGCTCCAGTTTTCTCATCCTTAAAATA